CCGATACGATAGGTAAAGCTGTCCGCGATGTATGCAGTGCGACAATACCAACGCAACAAAACTTCTGCTACTGCTGCTATTGATAATATTCACTAACATTTCAATACAGAGTTGAAGTACATGCTGTTGCTGTTAATGATATTCACAATGTTGTAGTAGGAATTTATTGTGCGAGCTGTTGCGGTTGTAATATTTAAGCAGAAATTGCAAAGCATAATCTACTGCTGCTGCACGAAACCTGCTGTAAGCCCTGTTGAATAAGCAATTACCCTCCATGAGTTATCACTAAAATTTCATGCAACTAAAGCGCTTTCTGCTGCCGCTGCTATATTAGCAACAATAATATGACTTGTTATGCATGATGCTGCTAATATTATTTCTAACCTTGCATCTGAATTTGCTATGCATGCTATAACATTTTTTAACATTGCGATCTGAATAGCTATGCATACTGCTGCACAAAAATACTTAGAAGTGCTACTGCCCCGTTTTAAATAAACAAACACAACCAATTAATGCTTATTTTGTAAATTAAATCTTGTTGAATTTAATAGTAAAGTAATAAAATGCCTATTTCACCTAAAAAGTTCCCTACCATCCAAGTGTTATCTTATCACTGAAATTACATGCAACTAAATGTACTTTCTGCTGCCGCTGCTATGTTAGCAATGATAATTGGATTGCCATGCAGACTGCTGCTAATATTTCTAACATTGCATCTGAATTTTGCCATGCGTGCTGCTATTAAAATTCACTAAACTAGCGATCTGGATAGCTATGCATACTGCTGCTACAGCTGCACAAAAGTACTTAGAATTGCTATTAGCGTCTTTATTAACAAGCAAACGCAATCAAACAGTGCCTATTTCGCTTTGAAGAGTTCACAAAATCTACTGTAAGCCCTGTTAAATAAGAAAAGAAATAAAATGCCTATTTCACTTTAAAGAGTTACTTACCCCATGCGTTATCACTGAAATTTCAAGCAACTAAAATACTTTTTGCTGCCGCTGCTATATTAGCAACAATAATTTGACTTCCTGCTGCTAATATTATTTTTAACATTGCATATGAATTTGCCATGCATGCTGCTGCTATTAAATTCGCTACATGCGATCTGAATAACTATGCATACTGCTGCTACAGCTGCACAAAGGTACTTAGAATTGCTAAGCCCCTTTTAAATAAATGAAACGCATCCATTTATAGTCACTGAAACTTCAGCAATTGTAAGTCGCTTTGGATAAAAGCATCTGCAAAATAAATAAATGTAAACTACGGTCTACCATACTGCTGCCACAACTAAACGCATAATTTGATTTGCTATGCATACTGCTATAATTAGCTAATAACGCAATCTGAAATTCTATGGATACTGCTGCTACACTCCATGAAAGTACTAGAATTGCTGTAGCCCAGCCATGCATTATCACTGAAATTTCATGCAACCAGATACTTTCTGCTGCCGCTGCTATAAACAACAGTAATAATTTAACTTGATTTGCTATGCATACTGCTATTAACAATTTGCTAATAACGCATTCTATGATACTGCTGCTACACTCCATGAAAGTACTAGAATTGCTGTAGCCCAGCCATGCATTATCACTGAAATTTCATGCAACCAGATACTTTCTGCTGCCGCTGCTATAAACAACAGTAATAATTTAACTTGATTTGCTATGCATACTGCTATTAACAATTTGCTAATAACGCATTCTATGATACTGCTGCTACACTCCATGAAAGTACTAGAATTGCTGTAGCCCAGCCATGCATTATCACTGAAATTTCATGCAACCAGATACTTTCTGCTGCCGCTGCTATAAACAACAGTAATAATTTAACTTGATTTGCTATGCATACTGCTATTAACAATTTGCTAATAACGCATTCTATGATACTGCTGCTACACTCCATGAAAGTACTAAAAGCCCAAATGAACACACAAATAGTAAATTCCAGTTTAAGAGTGTCCTACTATTAGCTACATTGTACATGGGCTACTGATTGGAAATGATTTATTAGTAGTAGTATCTTTATATTTAAACGAATTCATGATTAATTATCTTTAAACTATCACTAAACGTGACTTTTATAATAAACTCTTCACTATCGCTGAACCGAGGTAACGAGTGAAATAGAGATGTGGCCCCTTTAAGAATGAGCACTCCCTCTTCTGAGTGCATTGCAATGCGGCACGAGTACACATATAAGCAGGTATATTATTTTCTGCTGCTCAATAAGTTGTTATGGATAGGAAAGTCTGTTGACAGTATGATGTTTATGAAATACAGTTATACGGGTTCACCTTGACTTAAAACCGTGAACAACTGTGAAACGCCAACTGCAAACCGACCCCACTAGTGAGGTAAATGAACGCCCACAGAAGATATTAAAAACATTGGCGATTTCGGGCAAATAAGGTAATCCCCAATTCACTTTACTGTTCTAAATCCACGACGCTTGACGTTGTATTCTCACATACATGAACTAGGAAAACTGCTTGCTGCTGCTGCTAATGCTACTGCTGTTATATGAACAATACATGCTTAGTAATTACTCCTCACGCGAATAACCTGCACGTAGTTTTACAACGTTTATGTTTTCTAGTTTAAAAATGTAAATCTGACACAATACAATAACACAACACTAACACAACAATGCACTGAAATCATAGTGAAGACCATTTACTTATCTTAGCGGTTTAGTTTCAGAGAAACTCTGAAAGTGCGCTGTAGGAATCTCAAGTGAATGCTAGCCAGCCATATAAGCAGGCAGTAAGCTCATTGGCTGCATATGCAGCATGAACCAATCAGCATGTGCCAAGTCATTTAACTCTCTGAATATCATTGGTTACATTAACAACCCATCTAGAGTCGCCATCTAGAGTTTCATGACTGAACTATATATTTATGTAAAAATTCAAACAACATGCTTATTCTGACCTGTGCATATTAAAATATATAAAAGAATAAGTGAGCATATTAGATTTTATTGGGTTTTAAATGAGTAAAAAAATTCTTACTGACAAACGGGCAAAACCTAGGATAGTGGCACATTTTTTTAAAAAATTTAAAATAACTCATTAGTATTTGGGGTGAAAGTAATTAGTTTTTTAATATGTCATAAATCGATTTTTGTTGCAAATATGCCTGACAAGATTGTTACGCTGAATGACATTTTAGTGGGTGTCTTCTGTAAATCAGGGGAAAATGTATATTTAATTTTTGCTCAGAAAAACAAAAACAAAAATACAATTACATTAAACAGAAAACTTTTTAATTTTTTTGTTTTATTTGAAAAACAATTTAAAGCAGTATTGTTTTATGCTTAAACCCTTTTACGTCTTTGCCCCATAAATGAAAAGTGTCCCTTTCCTGCACACATGACAAAGGATACAAAAAATACAAAAAGTGTTTTTTAATTCCAATGTTAAAAAAAACAATTAATATTAAAGTAATTGTTGTACCGCAATCCATTTTCAGACCTGCCAACTTTGGGCAAAATTTTTAAATTCCAAATTGCACCACTTTGCATTGGACACTGAACATTTTTTTACTTGATTAATTTTTTAATTGGCATTCAGAGCATAGTGATTAGTTAGTCTCTTCTTTTGCTGTTTAGTAGGTGAGACCCCCAGCTCTTGCAGTTAGACGCACTGCAATTCACACCTGAGACCTTGTTACACCTTGTAACATCTTGTAACACTAACGAGTCACATGACAATGGGGAGAGAAAATGGCTAATTGAGCCCAGTTTGGATATTTTCACTTAGGGGTGTACTCACTTTTGTGGCCAGCGGTTTAGACATTAATGACTGTGTGTTGAGTTATTTTGAGGGGACAGCAAATTTACACTGTTATACAAGCTGTACACTCACTACTTTACATTGTAGCAAAGTGTCATTTCTTCAGTGTTGTCACATGAAAAGATATAATAAAATATTTACAAAAATGTGAGAGGGTGTACTCACTTCTGTGAGATACTGTATATGTATGTTTTGGCCTTAGAAAAACAAGTGTCTATACTTGTCAGGGACATCAGGCTACGAATGGCTTATTTACTGTATATGTTTCTGCATATAAGACTGCAATTGCAATACTGAGAAAGTATTTAAATATTTAAAACAAAAATTACACACCTCACCTTTAACATTTGTCAGGTCAGGTCAAGTCAAGAACAATGAATGTGGGATACAGTAACTATAGTGAACTCTGTTCTCTGTATGCCGCTGGTTTTGGCACACTACTACAGACACAGAGTAGTATGGCTGTATGCTGTATGGAACAAAACCACATTTTCATGCCCATGAAAAGACAGTAAAAACTGATCTGGGGGATGAAATGGATCAGTGGAGGCCGTCAGATCAGAGCTGATGTGTTTTGACATCTGGAGAGGCAGGATGTTTCTGTGCGAGATACTGTCTGTGTGGCTGATGTTGGACAGTGATTCATAATGTATAAAAACAGATGTCTCTTCTATTATAGATTACCAAAAACGAGCTGATTTACTGGCTGTGTGTTCGCCCTAAGCAGCAGAAATGACCACATCAGTTCCTCTGTGACCTAAACAGTTTTGAAAAATTTAATTAGAGGCCAATAAAAATGCTGCTATAGAAAAAACAACATCCTTCTTCCTGAATCTGATCTAATTTCATTTTATGAATTGAATTAATCTCATGTTTTAAGAAAAATTTTATAATTTATGTAGAATATTTGCTGCACCACCTTAGTAGAAGAGCCTTGAATCGTTAATATGAAAATGTAATTACTCACAGAGCGCCCTTTCCTTTTGATTTCATTAAATGTTTTTTTGCCCTTCATCATTCCTCCCTCGAGTTCCTTGTTTAAATCTTTGTTGAAAGTGTAAATCCATGTGAGTTTTGATTTTTCCCTTCAGTCCAGAGTGCCCACAAATCCTCCCTCAGGGGTGAACGTGTTTCAGCTGACGTTATTAGTCTCGTTTGGTTGATAGTCATGAATCTGCTTTGCTCGTTTCAGGTAAAATGTTCAAGTCATTAGACTTGCCGTTGATCGTGGAGTTTATGCTAATGTTCTACAAAGACAAGCCCATTGATTGGCTGTTGGACCACATCATGTGGGTGAAGGTGTGCAATCCAGAAAAAGATGCGGTAAGAATTATACATCTCTCTTTTTCTATAGTTATTCTTCTTATTCTTATTCTTATTATTTTATTTATTGCTCGTTCATTATATGAATCATTATTTTTGTCTCTCTCCTTCACATATGCGTAAAGATTTGAATAATTATTAGCCGATGCAAGTCATAGCTATGTGTTGGTGTAGATGTTTCTCCTTGATATGCATATTTTTATTGCAACCATCATAGCTATCTCAACAAACAAATCATGCCCTAAATAAAAAATATATAAAAAAGAATCGCAATTGCATCACCATCATTTCAGGAAGTGAAGTCTATAAGAATAAGTCATGTCTCTTGTTTTTTGTCACTTTATCTCATGTTTTATTAGGTTTGTTGGAAATTTGGTTACACTTTATTTTAAGGTGTCTTTGTTATGGTGTAATTATACATTTAAGTACTGAGTAACATTAATTAACTACATGTACTTACTATATGGTCAAGGTTAGGATTAGGGTTTGGCTTGCATGTAATTAAGCATAATTAATTGTTATTATAATAGTAAGTACATGTAACATGTGTAACAAGGACACCTTAAAATAAAGTGTTACCCAAATTTTTGACTGTGATGTTCCAATAGCAAACATATAGGAATATCAGCAATAAAATATCTTTCTAATGACTACCTTGTTGTATCATGACCTTGAGGGATGAGGCAAGTATGTGAATTAATCATCTTAAATATGGTGCAAGTTAACAACACTTTAAGAAACTCTTTTTCTTCCAGAAATGGACTTAGCATTTTGAAATCAAACCTGGTTGATTAAGGCCATGTTAACACCATATGCTGCAACATATGGTTGTCATCCTCTTTTTCAGACAGCAGTATTATCCAACAACACAATTTACATTAAATACAAATAGTGCAAATCAAACAGAATTAAAAAACTGTTGTTAAATGGATAGTTCACCCAAAAAAATTTTTTTTTTAATTCAAATCATTTACTTACCATCATGCTCCAAACTCATAAGGCTTTTCTTCATCTTGAAACACAAATAAAGATATTTTAATGAAACCCGAGAGATTTCTGCCTCTCCATTGAAAGTCCATTACACTAAAACTTTCACACTTCAAAAAGTAAACATTGATCATCACACATACTGTTACGGTGTACCTACGGTGAGGAGTGAGGAACAAGAACAATTTGCAAAATTCCAGGGATTTTTGGAAAGTTTACGGAAATTTACCGGAAATTTTTCACCCCTTTGCAACTCTACTTACACCAGCTCTGCAGTCTAAAGGTATCAGAACATAATTCATACGCCCCACAGAGATAATTCAAATCATTTACTTACCATCATGCTCCAAACTCATAAGGCTTTTCTTCATCTTGAAACACAAATAAAGATATTTTAATGAAACCCGAGAGATTTCTGCCTCTCCATTGAAAGTCCATTACACTAAAACTTTCACGCTTCAAAAAGTAAACATTGATCATCACACATACTGTTACGGTGTACCTACGGTGAGGAGTGAGGAACAAGAAAAATATGCAAAATTCCAGGGATTTTTGGAAAGTTTACGGAAATTTACCGGAAATTTTTCACCCCTTTGCAACTCTACTTACACCAGCTCTGCAGTCTAAAGGTATCAGAACATAATTCATACGCCCCACAGAGATTAGACCGTATACAACAGGGGAAAAGCCTGTTGACTGTGATTTAATAAGAATTGTAAGATGTTAATGCATCTCCAGTTTCTAATATGTCAGTTTCTAATATGTCTCTAAGTGCTATGTGGCCAGATTGATCAATGGATAATTTGTTTCTGATCTGAGACTTCTGTTTAAAGTGTACATAGTTTTATAATGTATATAAATGTTCTTTGTGTCCCACAGAAACATTGTGACAGGCAGAAAGCAAACCTACGCATCCGCTTTAAACCGTCTCTCTTCCAGCACGTTGGAACACACTCTTCCCTCGCTGGAAAGATCCAGAAACTCAAGGTGATCTTTTACCAAATTTATTTATGTGTGAGGTGTTTTTTATATTTATACACTACCAGTCAAAAATTTTTGAACAGTAAGATTTTTTTATGTTTTTTAAAAAAGTCTCTTCTGCTCACCAAGCCTGCATTTATTTGATGCAAAATACAGCAAAAGCAGTAATGTGAAATATTTTTAATTTTTAAAATAACTGCTTTCTATTTGAATATATTTTAAAATGTAATTTATTCCTGTGATTTCAAAGCCGATTTCTTTGATGTATAGAAAGATCAGAAGCACACCATTTGTCTGAAATATAAATCTTTTGTAAAATTATAAATGTCTTTATCATCACTTTTGATCAGTTTAAAGCATCCTTTCTTTTTCATTTCTAGAATTTATTTCCCCAAAAAATATATATATACTGACTCCAAGCTTTTGAATGGTATAGTGTATAATGTTACAAAGGCTTTTTATTTCAGATAAATGCTGATCTTTGTATCTTTCTATTCATCAAAGAGTCCTGAAAAAAAATTAACTCAACTGTTTTAAATATTAATAATAATAAATGTTTTTTGAGCAGCAAATATTAGAATGATTTCTGAAGGATCATGTGAGACTGAAGACTGAAGTAATGATGCTGAAAATTAATCTTTAAAATCACAGGAATAAATTATACTTTAAAATATATTCAAATAGAAAGCAGTTATTTTAAATAGTAAAAATATTTCACATTACTGCTTTTGCTGTATTTTGCATCAAATAAATGCAGGCTTGGTGAGCAGAAGAGATTTTTTGAAAATCTAAAAATGCACAAAGTACCCTGAGGGGTAGGTTTAGGGGTAGGGTTGGTGTAGGGCAATAGAATATAGGGTCTGTACAGTAGAAAAACCATTACGCCTATGGAGAGTCCCCACAAGGGGATGGCTGACCAGACGTGTGTGTGTGTGTGTGTGTGTGTGTGTGTGTGTGTGGGATTTTTTTATACATTTGTAACCCTCCAGCAGAGTAGTCTGCCTCAGGACTGTGTTCATTTCTCTTCATATTGTCCAAATTGCAAATCACAGTATCCAGAAGGCAGCTGATAAGAGCTCATATCCTAATCAATCAGCATGTGTCCCTGCTCCGTCTTTATTCTTTCCAAATGAAGAATTACCGTGGTGACGAGTGCTCGTATGACCCGCCCGTTCTGTGTGGTATTGATTTTTGTTGTCGGCTGGTGAATACATCTGATGGTCCGGTTCCTGAGGGCCCTGCTCACTGCATTCTTACCCCTGCGTTTATCATAATACCTGTCTGTTATTCTTTGTCTCTAGTCATTTGTTTTCTTCATGTTTATCATCCTTTGGTGTGTTTTGGCACTATGGGTTTTGGTCTGAAGTCTGTTTGACGTTAGATTTCAGTTTGTTTGGTTGGTGTGAAAGCTGTTTCGGTGTGCACACACACACCACACTCAAGTCTGCTTAAAAATGGAGGCCTGGGTTTGCAATTGGTATTTAAACTGCTAAACTGACACCATTTAGGCATTTCTTTAGTGGATAGTTAAAATATGTACTAATTAATACTTTTGTGTAAGTTGAAGCATTCATACTGATAAATTTGAGAATTCATTTTTCTTTTGTTTTGCCTTCCCGCCCACACTAAAACGGCTCAGGTTTTGTTTTGCCGTGTGGATAGATAAGGTAACACTTTACAATAAAGTATCATTTGTTAACATTAGTTAATGTGAACATGTTAGTTCACAGTGTAGATATAAATGTAGAAGTGACCATTAACTAAGATCAATAAATGCTGTAGAAATATTTTTAAGTTTTAGTTCAATTTAACTAATGTAGTTCTTCAGTCTTCATGTTACATTCCAGCAAAGATGTCAAATAAATTTACTAGCAATTGTTGTTTCATGGCAAAAAAAAAAAAAAAAAGAAGAGATTAATTGATTTTTAGACCATACATGGAGTTATGATTTGGACACACCAGTGATATTTTGGGTGGGCTATTTTGGTAATGAAATACTAATGCCAGAGTAATGGCGAGATAACTTTATTAAGTCTGGTCTCTGTCATCTCAGTGAGATTTTATAATGGACGAGCAACTTTTGGAAACTGCTAGTGTGGACTGAGAGTGTTATGAAATGAAAACACAATTTTTGAATTTACTCTGATTAATGTGGACATAGCCTGAAAGTCTGGGTCACAGACAATAAAATATAACCATAACAGGCATTTGAAAGGTTGTAAAATAAAATAATGAATGCATGACACTTTTAATGTAACATCATATAGCAACCATAAAAAAGTTTGAAATCTTTTAGTTTGACATAAAGTGCCTGTATTTGAAGAATTTTCCAGACGCTGTTTATGTAGCCCTTCTATCTTTATTTGGTCAGGATAAGGACTTCGGAAAGCAGACGTTGCATAAAGGTCACGCTAACCCGCTAGCTGAGGTCACCACCAGTCTGAAGACGTACCAGCATTTCACACTGGAGAAGGCCTATCTGGGAGAGGATTTCTTCTGGGCATTCACACCTGTGGCGGGAGACTTCATACGCATCCGCTTCTTCACACCTGTCCGAGTAGAGAGGTACATACAGTCAGAGATTCTCAGATAATACCACATGATTCTCTCTGTTACGCCTTCATGAATACCAACATGCTTTCACAAACAAACAGTAGACTCAATGATTATGCTGCCCTCTAAGATGCCATCTTTTAGCCAAAAAGACAGCACTGAATATGTCCTGTGCAGAGAAGACAGTCCCAGAATGCCTTGCGATAAGATCACATGAAAAATTCAAGTAGAGATACCTTACAGAGAAAATGACTCCATTGCAAGTTACAACTCACCAAATCCAGTACTACTTGAGGAAAAGTCATATAGAGTATCTGACTTTAACAGTACTTAAGTATTTTACTCGAACTGAATTTAGGCTCAAAGAAGCACTAGTCCTCAACACCTATTCAACACCGATATTCACGTTAAAAATGCTCAATTAAATGGTCAAATCCTCTTTGCACTGGACGTGCTGGTTTCTGCCTCATCACTGTCTGCATCCATGCCCTATAAAACACCTGTGATTCAGCAACTAGCTGCTAATGCACTCACATTCATGTAAAGTTGCCTCATTGACATGTTTGGGTGCGCACAAGATCTCGTACCTTCAATAAACTGCTGTAGAAAAAGTTAGCTGTCATGCACCTCATGGAGTAAAGAGTACATGGTATACTTATTCAAAAATCAAGTCAAGTAGAGAGTAAAAGTTGCTAATGTCTTTGATACTCAGCCAAATTTCAAAGTAGCCAAAAAGTACAGTAACTAATTACATTTACTCAAATATGTTACACTGTGTTCATTTACACGTGAGCATCTCTTGATCCAGTGTTTTTAGCGTCTCAGTTCACAGTAAATACAGAGTCCATCTCTGCATTTGACAACGCAACATGCGCTAAATTCACTCAATTACACGTTTGATTAAATAGCAACATTTGGTGTACAGAAGTTTACAGCATTTTACTAATATTCTGCTCCAATAAAAGCTTGAGTATTTAAAGACGTAAATATTAGCTTTGTAACTTTATTGTATTGTAATTATCAGTTATACTATTATTATAATTATCAGTTATTCATTTTTATTTTAACAGTACAATTGTCATTTACAGTTATATACAGTATTTCTGTCTTATAAAATGATAATTATAAATATTTCAAACATAATTATTATTGTTGTTATTTTTAGTATTCTATTTGATTGTGGTCTTAAAACACTAGTGTGAATGTAAAGTGGACTGAGACACTATCACAATTATAATCTTACTGAAAACTAATTTATTTGTTTACTTGCGTGTCATGTAACCATTAACCAACATCAGAGAATTGTGAATGTGTCATTAATTATTGAAATATTAATGTAAATTCTCGGCTGAGACAAAAAAACGTTTGGGTGTTTCAAACAAGTCAGTTATGAGGTTTCATATGTTTACTTTGGAAGGTTGCAGCCAATGAATGAAGCAGAAAGCATGTAGTCTGTTTTATAATAGAGCTCGTCTCGCAGTCTTTCCCATCACGCTGACTCAAAGCAGCTGGATAATGCATCAGTCGTCATGAGGCACAGTCATCCGTACATTTTTAACCCTAATGGAAAGTCCGTGCATAATTCAGGCTTAATTGAGAGCTAATAGTGCTCAGTCTGAATGAGAGCTTTTGACATTCACTCACTGGCTTCCGTCATGCTACAGGAGTCACCGTTTAACAAGCGCAGGTGTTCTTTTACACTGTACACATGTATTTATAGAGAGAAATCTGCCAGTGTCTGTGATTGCTCATGCTTCAGTGATCTATAGAGGAGAAAGAAAATTGTTTTTGGACACTTAAATATGTATGAAAGTCATTGCATTAGATGACATTTTATCAGGCGTCATCTGTGCTCAAATGCTACTGGTGTTTTTTGAGCTGTATTTGTAGATACTTTTATTCAGATTTTAATGTAACAACAAAATGAAGATATTGCATTAAGGTTTCACAACCACAAAGTGTCACAAAGTTATACACAACATCTGTTGATTTATTATTTCAAATGTATGTATGAAAGTATGTTTGTCATTCTTTATATTTTCCATAATTCAAAAACATTCAGACATTTAGTGTGACGCTACCATTCAGAAGTGTGGGCTCAGTAAGAATTCTTTTAAGAAATGAATTATTTTATTTAGCAAGAATGCATTAAATTGATCAAAAGAAGCAATAAAAGCATTTATAATGTTGCAAGATTTCGGTTTCAAATAATTGTTATTGTTCTTTCTATTTATCAAAGAATCCTTTAAAAAGTGATGGTTTCCACATTGATAATCAGAAATGTTACTCAAGCAGCAAATCAGCATATTAGAATGATTTCTGAAGATCATGTGACACTGAAGACTGGAGTAATGATGCTGGAAATTCAGCTGCGCATCACAGGAATAAATTCTATTTTAAAGTATATTACAATAGAAAATAGGTATTTTAAATTGTGATATATTTTACAATATTACTGTTTTTACTGTATTTTTGATCAAATAAATACAGCCTTTGTGAGCATAAGAGACTTCTTTCAAAAACATTAAAAAAATATTACCGACCCCAAACTTTTGAATGGTTGTGTAAATGTCTAAATACTTTTTGGGGCCACTGTGTGTTGCAGGGTCTATAAATAACTACATGATGAGATGATATATGAGGAAACATCTGCGGTATAGTTCTTTTGCGTTGTACTCCTTATGTATGGAATTGATAAGATTGATAGTTTGGATGATGTGTGTGTGTTTGTGTCTGTGTCTGTGACTGTGTCTCTGTGTGTCTCTGTGTGTGTGTGTGTGTGTGTGTGTAGATATTTCTTCCGCAGTGGAAACATCGAGCACCCTGGAGACAAGCTCTTCAACACTACGGTGGAGGTTCTTCCTTTTGACGTGAGTCTGTCATTGTGTGCAGATGAACACTAGCAGTGTGTTTGTTGAAGGATCGCTGCTGTTTGATTGTGTGTTTCCCTCTGGGCTTCACTGCAGCCTCCATAAACACCTCACAGATCTGTGCTGAAACACTGTCTCAGCAAGCTCAAGACTTCAGTCAGTGTTGAAAATATACTGCCGTCACAAACACTTTTTGGCATGGTTTCTGTTTGAGCAGAAGTCAAGAACTGAGAATCTATCATAGATGGCTTAGAACCTATTTAAATGTGCAACATCACTATTATTATTGCCCGTATTTATGGTTAAGGGTTTGTTAAACGTGCCGTGTAACTTGTGCCACACTACAGACATGACTTATATCTCAAATCATGCTTGCAGGTGGACAACATCATTGCAACCGCAGAGAGCACCATAGCTCGATTTTTTTAAAGGTCCGATTTCCTCTTGCGAAGTTCTTCTTAGTTCTTCACTCAGGAGTAAACAGAAGTTAGAAAGAGCAGAGCAACTGTTACTAAAGATTTGCTGTCTATTCAGCAAAAATATTCAGCAAATATTATGTAATCATCATGGACCAGTGGCAGTTCCGAGGTGGCATGAAGTTTCAACAAACTAACTTTGTTTTGGCCAAATTTAGTTTGAATGTATTCAGGACCTCAAGGCACTGAAAAAGTATAAGTCCAAGATAGTGGATGAAGAAAGAGTCATGTTGATTAACTTGAAAAAAAAATTAGATCAGATCATGGCCTTCTGTTGTCAGATCATTTTTAACAATGAAGCTAAATGTGTGTTAATGTTCAGCTTGAATTCACAAAAATGAAATGAACATAAGTAGGCCTGTCACAAACTTTTTGATCGCAGTTCTTTGATCTAATTGCATTTGCTGTGCGGTATAGAGAAGCAGAGGAGTCATAAGCTGACAGGGAGTCATATTTCAGCACCACATTGATCCCGCTCCAAATGATACCAGACAGGCTCAGCACAATTGCTTGCGTTAAATTCAAAAAGCAAAAGTTTCAAGAGTTACCTTCATCGAAAAACACTCTAGTTTTACTGTGATTTAACATCCATGCCATGCCAAACATTCTTGGTTCTTAGAGTTTCACACACATCTAGGCTCAGCAAGAGTTGAGTCACTTATTTTAGTTCTGCTATAGTTAACTAAAACTAAAAAAAAACAGCATCAGACAGTGAGAGTTCAGGGAAAGCAGTGGAGATCAAGATATACTTGTGTTTTATGAGCTAATGGAACTGTACTGACACAGGGTAATAAAATGTGACCTGCTGTGTGTGTGTGCGGTCGGTGTGGAGGAGATATTTTCTCCCGGGGCAGAGCAGGAGAGGGGTGGCACTGTGATTTAAGATTACAGCCGGAAACGGACGTTCACCGCAAGATTAATAGCAGGATTTTCTAAGAGCGAGAGCCTGTCGCCCTGTAATATCTCTCGTCCTCTCGCTGATTTCTGCTTCTCTTCCCTGCTACCGGGTTGCTATATCTCTCTTTTCTCCTCATTTCCGTCTTTCTAAAGCTCCCTTTAGGGACATTTCTGGAATTCTACCGTTACCGTATACAGGAAATTAGCAGGGAATGCCCTGGAGGAAAGAGTATCTGTGGTCTGTTTTATGCTGTTAATGCAGTTTGGGGAAATTAGAGCGATGCTCTGCTGGGGTTTTGAACATATTTGTCTTCTATTGGGTCATATCACTGAGTTTCAGTCCAAGAAGAAGCCTCGTAAGAGCCGTTTCAGAAGTTACAGTTGCCAGGGATGCAGACACAACATGTACACCCCATATCTAGTGCTGTTTGCTCACACGGGAACAACTGTTACGTTACAACAATGGTGCTACAGAGCTTCCTCTGTAAATGTCAGCTTGTGGCTACAGTTAATGCTTCTTTCATGCTTTAATTATTTTTGCTGTCAGTTTTATTTTATCTTGACAGAAAAGCACAAACACAAATTGGTTCAATATATCTCTATCAGAAGATTCTCTGCCAAAACTGAAATTTTTAATAATGGAATATCGGCTCAGATCTCGCAAAACTCTGCAGTTCCACTCACTTTCATAAACTGTTCATTCATATAGAGATATTGCATGCAGCAGAATAAAGGGCACTGGTTTCTTACTGGCCCACGTCAAAAGAGTTCACGTTAAAGTCTCTCTGGATATGGCTGGGGTCCCTCCTTCCATATTAGACTATGGGAATGTTTCTAATAAAAAAATTAACTCAATTTAATTCCAGAAATATCTATTGACCTTAAGCTGCTTGCACTGCATAGCTTAATGCACAGATCCAAATTTTTGACCATATCCAATTTTTTTTCTGTTTATATTTACTTAAGACGTGACTTGTATCCGATATCCGTGTTTACATTATTCTTTTCCCAAACTAGAATGATTCTATTTGTGGTCACTTTCAGCAACACATTTGACCCTCGGGTTTTAAATAGCAGTATATAAAAAGGTTCTACTATTTAGGAC